CTTCACACACTTGTAGCACCCAGTGGCAGATCAGCATTGAACATAGCAAACTTCTTAACCAAGTGTGTTCAAACATGACCTGTATGGAGCTAATCATGTAATTAGGGACCGTATATTACGGTGTTGTTCTATACTGTCTCATAGAAGAGGATAAAGTATGTTGTTAGATGCAGGTCCATGAACATGCTCCTAGATTCAGAGGGCTGTCTGCATTATTGCCAGTATTATTTTTGCAAAATCAAGCAAGCTACAGGCGGTTTTTATTATGATCCCAAGAGCATAAAATCCCTGTCTGAATTGAGTCCCATGTGACGCGTCTAGTTAACAACCACAGGAGCCACAACTACCGCTAAACTAAACAAATAATAAAGCCTCAAAATGAAGCAACATGTGGTGGATGATGATCATTACAGTCAGGAGAGGAGACTTTGGAGTCGACGCCGGCGCTGCAACGAACGGCGACGTCGACGACCCGCCTGATGACGCAGCCGTGCCAAGTCACCGGGGTGAGGTCAGGACAAGCCAGTTGTGACCATGCAGCTGTTCACAACTGGAAGTGGTATAACCTTAAGCATAATTATCACACATAACAACTGATTAACAAGGCAATCCTGAGTTGAACACTATAATTTAGTTCAGTTGGAGCATGCAGTGAACCTTTTGCTCGCCACCTGTGAAGGACAGGGACAGGATATCTTCAGGCCTAAGTCAGATCTCTTTCTGACCTAATACATGTGTTAATCTATAACTAGTTTTTTCATTGATGGGAAATACCAGGAATTCCTAGTGCATATGTTTATAAAAAAAAGTTGCGGTTTACATATCTACAGGTAAAAAAATTAAAAGGAATGAAGGAGGAAGAAAATAAAGGCAGATCATAAGATCTGAGATGAAAGATCATCAACAGTTAGTTTCAGTTGGGGTATGCAGTGAACAGAGACAGGAGGATTATCTTCAGGCCAGGTCTCTTTCTCCCTCTACACATTTTGTACATTTCCCGCGCATATATTTATAATTTGTTCATAAATTTGTATACCGGCGGGGCCTCCTCCACAGCTCTTTTTTCTAGAAAAAACAGAGACGGCGAGAGCGGGCGGCCCGCGTATATATATAAGTAAGCACTTTGGAGGGAGCTAACCAACCAACCACCCCCTCATTAACAAAGCACCCAACCATCCAACCTTGAGAAGGTGAGAGCTCAGCTGGGAGAAGAGAAGAGAACACAGGAGAAGAGCAGGAAAGGGAGATCATCATCAGGCTCTGAAGAAACGGAGAAAAAGTAAGCATCTCTTCCGATCAATCCTCCTGTTCATGATTCTTCCTCCTTCCCCCCCTTTCTCCTCTTCATCGCAACGGAGCTCTGCGCTTCGATTCCGCTCTGCGCCTTCGTCGATCTTCCAAACAAAAAACCCTCCTCAGAAATTGTTACTGCTGCTACTTTTGCTTGTTCTAAAGGGAGAGACAGAGAATTATTTTTCTTTCCTTTTTTGGGAAGCAGAATTGTCATGCTCCATCAAGGAGGTTGGAATGAACCTGCTTCTTAATCAGAAACTATCTTTGATCCCAACTAACACTGGAGGTTGTTGTAGGTAACTAACCGGTGGTTGCTGCCTGACGCCCGGTGGCCATGGCCACCGTCGGGCCACCCGGCGCCTATCGGAGGATCACCGTGCACTACAGCACCGCCGGTGATGATGTGAACCACGATGATTTCCTCGAGTATGTGATCGGTGATGTTCTTCAACACCAGGTATGTTTCATATTAACATCTCTGCACTTTTCAAGAAAAATTCTGTGGTCAACTGAAACCTTTTTTTCTCAAAAGTAACAGTTCTGATTTGTTTCCTTAGGAGGGCCTGCACCAATCCTTCGGCACAGGGGCCCCTGGTGCATCCTGGAGCATGCATTGCTGCCATGGGGAGAGCAGCAGAGGCACAGCAGCAGAAACCTCAGGAAGTTCAGAGGAACAGATCGCTGCCGACCTCAAATACGCCAGGATGCTGCAGGAGATGGAGGATCTGGATGTGGACACGCCTCCCAACGAAGACGAACAAGACGGTATGCAATTCTTTTGATTCAGTTCAGAGAAGGTACATGATGCTGATCATCATCTGATATATTGGTGTTCTGTGTGTGTTAAAATTCAGACATAAGCTGTGTGCCTTCCCCATCCGACACGGACGACGACGATGATCGCGGCGATGAAGAGGACGTGAGCTATTATACAAACTGATATTTGCAGTTGCTTGTTTGTTGAGCTAGTTATCTGCAGCTTGCATCAAACTAAAAATTCCGAGACCGGTTCGCAGGCAGCTGGGCAGGATGACGATGACAACGACGACACCAACGACGATGTTGATCCGGACAACATGACATATGAGGTTTGTCTTCAATGAATGTCCCACAGTTTCTTTTTCTGTTACCTGTAAAGGCCCCGTTTGGAACGCGAGATTTCTTTGTCAATAAATAGCACGCCGCGGTTGGTTGGTTCGTCAGAAAATTTGTTTGCTGATTCCAGTCCCTTTTTTCTGCAAAAAAAAAAATTCCAGCAAGGGCAGGAACTAGTGGAATCAGTGGGAAATGAGAGCAGAGGTTTATCAGATGAGCTCCTGTCATACTTGGTGCCATGGAAGTACAGGTCAGGATCAGGGTTCTTCTCAAGGAGGACAAACCATGATGAGTGAGTCCACAACCTTCTCAATCAAATATGAAATCCTTACTGATGATGACTAATCACTAGTGTATTGCTGGAAATTAGTTAATCTTTTGGCAGTAAATCTCTCTTTGTCACTGATGAATCTCTCTGTTTCTTCAACCAATGGATGCAGCACTTGTACTGTGTGCCTGTCAGCTTTCAGAAACCGGGAGAACATCATAACCTTGCCCTGCAAACATAATTACCATGCAAGTTGCATTAGCAGCTGGCTCAAGATCAACAAGGTGAGAGTTAAAAATTGCTTCTTTTTTCACCTTTTGCCGAAGGTTAGAGAAAAGTCATGGCTTTGGGCAAAAGTACAGTTGCTGACATGTGATTAACTGTTGGTGAAACAGACCTGCCCAGTTTGCAAGTATGAAGTGTTTGGGCCCTCCTAGCATGTCATCAGCAGCCAATCGAAGCTCACAAGGCGGCGACACGTCTTCGCGCCGCTCGCTTGCTACGCCTACTCATTCAGTACAAAAGAAAGAAAAGAAAAGAAAAAAACAGATATTTAGTTTGATTTCGCTGTCAAAAGGAAGGAAAAAGGCAAAAAAAAACAGAGTTTTAGTTTATGTTCGAAAGCAGATATTTAGTTGGATTTCCCTGTCAAAAGGAAAGAAAAGGAAAAAAACATAGATTTTTAGTTTTAGTTTACTGTCCCAAAGGGTGTCTACCCCACTGTAATTTTTGGCATGTGCAAGTGTCCTGATGGTTCAGAAGCTTATATATACATCAACTTTTTCCTGTCCTTGTCATGTTTGTACCTGCTATTGTGGTGCTGTGATGGTACACCTCTCTTGGATATGATACTACTTATGATGACAGGCAACTCAAGTCAAACATGATAGTAACAAAGATATCTGAATGTTTCATCAGTCTAAGATCAGCAGACTGTTCCAGCAGCACAAATAAAAACCACAGCATGTCATTGTAGGTTAAGTTAATGCTACAGGGTTGAACTGCTACCGAAGCCAACTCACACTCTCTCAGGTAACCGGAGATTTCATCGATATACGATCACCAGAATGTTCCAGACAGCGAAAAAAGATATGGGAAAGAAAAAGAATAACTTGTGATAATCTCATGGCGATTTCCCATCAATCATAACTCTCGGAGTAGTCAAACTTAGGTTGGCGCCAATGTGGTTTGTCACATGTTCCAGGCACTAACGGCCCGCTCTCTGAGACTTCATGGGTGATGAGATGGTCGAGATCGTCCATGCCGTGCACAGACTCCGCCGTTGGAGTCAAACTTAGGTCGACAATAACACAGTCGGTCACATGTTCCATGAAAATCCAGTTCTTCAGGCCCTCTGCAGGTGAACAGGCAAAATATTAAAATTTTAAAGTTTGACTTGGCATATTAACCAAAGGTTAATCACAGATCAACTGGGCAAAGCAGGGTTGCTATGGCAAAACTACAATAAGCTACATTTTTAGAACCACAGAAAAAAAAGACGGTGGGGATCATGGAGAGATGGGCCCACTTGTCAGCAAGTGACTTTGAAAGAAGAAGGTGCTATGGCAAACATGAGGACTGCAATGAATTATGGCCTACAATTTAATCAGCTTTGGTGTTCTGCATCTGAAGACTGAATCTATCTGTAACTTCAGTTCAGTGCACAGATCAGCAAATGGATGATAAACAAAATAACAACGAGAGGGGGATTGGTTGTTACACACCCCAACTGCCAAGGATCAGCAATATATGTAGAAAATGCCAGGAAACCAAGCACACTGTGTATATGTAGTAAACAGCTAAAGAACCATATGCAGCCTTTCAACCAAGTGTAATCAAACAGAATTTTTTTTTGGGGTAATTGCTCCTTAATTTGATATGAAAAACAAACGAGGTGAGAGGTTTCATCAAATATGTACTACTGCATTTGCATTCTTTAACTGTAGATACCGCATTGTCAGTATTGCGAAATGCCAGAATGTTTCAAAACTTAAACTAGCAAAAATAAAATATCTAGTGATGTCTGCACTGAGTGTAACAAGTATCGAGACTGTCCCAAGAATATCACAATGGATCAAATCAATAGACTACCAATACTCAGGAATGCTCAGGTAGACCAGAGCATGGTAAAGGAATAAGAGGAAGATGCAAAACTCAGGAAGAAAGATATGATTATCATTATTCATACTGCAAATTACAGGAGTTCAGAGGAAAGAAAGGGTGACGCCATAAAGAAAACTTTAGTATCACAGGATTTACAATTACATCCTTCAGAAGACTCGGTCTAAGTGATTCTACCTGACTTCGAAATCAGTGGTGCCAGCAGTTTCATGTATGACCTTGCTTATGGAACTCGTTTCAACTCTTCACTAACATGAACATCTGGGCATTCATGCAACAACAGTAGAAGGTCCTTTGTAATTGTTTGGAGCATGCTTTCCTCTGGTCGACGATTATCCTGAAGTGTACTCTCGTGAAACAGTTGCAGCGCACCCTGTGCTGAAATTTCTAGCACGAAGTTGTGCAAATCTTCAAGTTTTCCTCTACGCTGGGCATCGCGCATCAACTTTTCTTTTAGACTGTCATGAAGACTAGCTAATGCACTGCTTGAGGGACAACAAAAGGAAAATATAATAAATGAGAATGACACAAGAGGAACTTTATACAAGAAAACTGTTATTCACACGACCAGAAATGCAGTTTACCTAGTGATCCCCCGAACGAGACCCCACTTGTATCCAACATGCGCAGATTGCCTATGCCCAAGGTTGAACCCCTCTTGGGCAACATCCTTCTGCCCTTCTGTTATACCATCCCTATAGCCCATCTACAAAGAGACCAAAAGCCTTACTTTCAAACTTTTTGGACATCACACAAATTCATGATTCATGATTAATCAATAACCACGGAAGTGAAAATAATCATGTACCTTATGAAACTGGTCCTGCCTGTGGGTCCATTCTCTGTGTAAGCTGGAATCATGCCCTGGAGAATCTGAAGCATCACACCAGGAGTCATCATCTGCAGCAGCATCTTCACCATTGCCTGAATCAAAATTGGTGGAAAACAACTAGTTGTGATGATATGGAATGTTAATATTCCAGTTCAAACAGAATCTACATCGTTAGACACTGTATCCATGTAACATGCAAGGCAACAAAAGACAGACAGAAGGTTGCAGAATCTAGTGATACTACATCAGAACAAGGCTAGGGCATTATACCACAGAAAAAGGCTGTAGAGATCGTGGAGAGATGGGCCCACTCGTCGGCAAAGGACTTTAAAAGAAGGAAGCGGTGCTACGGCAAACATGAGGAATTATGGCCTACAATTTAATCGGCTTTGGTGTACTAAATCTGCGGCTTCTGCAGCTATCTGTAACTTTAGTTCGATGCACAGATCAGCAAACGGATGACAAACAAAATAACCATGAGAGGGGACCGGTTATTTCACACCGCAATTACCCAGGACCAGCAATGCCCGCTAGATTTATGTCATGTACAAGTACAATACACACAACCTAACTAGAAAATGCCAGGGATGAAGGCACGCTGTACATGTAGGCGACAGCCAATCAAGCACATGCAGCCTTTCAACCAGAGGTTCATCGGATAGGAATTGAAACAGGAAGCGCGCGCGCTGGCCTAAGAACCCTACCTGGTTCTGCTAGAAACTTGTGAGCGATATACTTATCATGTAGCCGTGAACAGACAGAACAAAGGACACCCAAAAGGTGCTATGGTGCAGGCAAGGACAACATTCCTTCCCAAGTTGGTATGATTTCTGCAAACATGATGCGGCACTAGAAGAAACTATGTGTACCGTACACACATATCCTATCCTATACCTCTACCCAGTGGTAAGACTACTCGTACTCTCTACGCTCTGCTACTGCTCTGCTTGGTGGATAGTTCGGCGTCTTCTTACCACAGTGCACGGTCGACGCCGGCGCCTCCCAGCGCTCCGCGGCTCGCGCGTGGCCGCCGACGGGGTGCAGTACGGCGGCGGCCTCCATCCCCCTGCCCTCGCCCTCTCCTGTCCCCGGCGGCCTCCGCTGCCGTCCGTCTCCCGCGCCAGCCGCCGGCGTCACCGGACAGAGCAGCCGCCCCGCGCACGAAAGAAGGCGATGGGTCGGCGAGTGAACCGCGGCTTGGAGCCGGATTCCGGCGGGGGTGGCCGGCGCCGTGTGAGATTTGGGGGCCGGGGAAGAAGAGGACGAGGACGAGAAAGCTCGCGTCTTTTTTTTTCTTTCTTTTTTTTTTAGGCAGCTCGCGTCTGTGTGCCCTGGCTACTGGGAGCCCATGTCTATGTTCGCCTATTTTGCGGGCCTTGCTGGACGCGGCCGGGTAAATTCAGGCCCAACAAGCTGTGACCTCTCATATTTCTCCAATCAAAGATTTCTCAACAAAAATAAATCTTCAATCAAAGGATAAAACAAATATTGCTTTTCCCATAACTTTGCTTCTTCTTGTTTTTTGCGAGGAACCCATAGTTTTGCGTGCGTGTGTATGTGTGTGCGCGCGCCCAGACACGAGGGGTTGATACATGATGTTTTTCAAAATTACTGCTTTTGATTTTAACATTTTCTATTATACATGATTTTTGTTATGGAGTCAAGAAAAGAAGAAGTCGGGAAGCGATAGACACATCAATCAAAGCCATGGGAAAAAAATCTGTGGAAATGGCATCCAGGCAAATCCGCATCGATGCCTCTCCCCTTGATATTGTCTCGCCTCTTCTATTCCGCAAAGAGGAAAATATAAATAAAATGAATACTCCAGGAAATGATATGCATCCTCTTTTTGATATGCATCCTCAAGAGGTGAAAGAGGGTCGGTGGTGGAGTCGCGACGTGGGAGTGCAACAGGGGTGGCCCACATGCCATGTCCGCTCACGCTCGTCGTCTAGGTGCTTGTATTGTAGTGCACCATGCTAATTTGATTAATATTGGGGGACAAGTTTATTCTCCACGTTGATGGGATTTTCTAGTGTTTTAGAGAAATGGATAATCAACTACAGTCAATTAATAATGGAAACCGCATCATAAGAGTTCAAACATAATATATTTTTCATTTTCACAGCGAACTATAACATCGTATATAACTAAAAGTCATTTTCACAGTAAACTTCAGCAAAGATTATTTCACATGCCTTTTTTTCATTTGTGAAACAGACCTGTCCTATCTGCAAATATGAAGTCTTTTGGGCTTCCTCCTAGCATGCCATACCACGAATCACAAAAGAAGAAAAAAGGCTTTCATTTTCAAAAAAGAAAAGGGGCAGAAGAAGAAACACATCAGCTTTTAGTTGGAAAATATACTGTCCTAACTGTGATTTTTGGCATGCACAAGTTGTCCTGATGCTTCACAAGCTTTTCATGCCATGGTCATGAGTGTGCCTGCTACTACTGTACTTCTGCAATACTAGTTGCTACACCTCTCATGGATATATGATGGGTTTAAGAACAGATTACAGATGGCAGGCCAAACACTGGTAAGAAGATAGCAGCACAGATGACAACCACAGCATGTCATTCCATACTCCAAACACTGGTAAGAAGATAGCAGCACAGATGACAACCACAGCATGTCATTCCATACTTAGTTAATAACACTGGGTTGCACTGCTATCCAAACCAACTCACACTCTCACATAACTGAAAGTTCGTCAATCTATGATCACCAGAGACTGTTCCAGGCGGACAACGCGAGCTCGAAAAAGAGGAAAAACTTTTTAATAATCTACTGCGATATCATCATCAAACACAGCTCTCAGAGTAGCGAGACTTTGGTTGACAATGATGTCAGATATTCCACGAGAAGCCACCGTCCCCCGGCTGCTCCCCCATGAACAGCCCGCTCTCCACGAGTTCGTGGGAGATGAGATGTTCCAGGTCGTCCATGTCGTGCACAGACTCCGCCTTTGGGGTCGCCACAGCATTGCCGCCAGAAGCGGCCGGGTTGCTGCTTACCGACTTGAAACTGCTGCTTCGCTGGACCATGCCAGCTCCGCTGTTGATCAGGTTACTAGGCCCCGTCATACCCATCGGAGCCGCGCCCTTTGCTGTGCCGTTATTCATGTGCTGTGCCTGCTCTGTGCTAGCGGCGCTGTTGGTGACCGCGGCTCCGGATGCCAGACCACCATTTGCATTGGGAGTGCTAGGAGACTGCTGCTGCTGCTGATGTTGCTGCTGCTGCTGTTGATGTTGTTGCTGCTGCTGCTGTTGATGCTGCTGCTGCTGTTGTTGATGGTGTTGCTGCTGCTGCTGCAGTTGATGGTGTTGCTGCTGCTGCTGCTGCTGCTGCTGATGGTGTTGCTGCTGCTGCTGATGAGCAAGAGTGCGGCTATTGGTATTCTTGGCTTCTTGCAGCAGCTGATTGATCACATGCTGCTGGAATTGTGGACTAGCGCCCAGGCCTTGGAAATTGTTATGCTGGTGCTGGGGCATACCTTGCTGGAACGACATGGGATGCTGGAATTGCCCAAGCTGAGCCGCACGGAACGACCTAGATGCTTCCAGCTGAATGCCACTGTGCACTGCTGTAGGACCTTTGAAGATACTCGATGCCTCCTGCTGAAGTAAACTTTGATTCGGGCTCGAGCCCCTAAGCATATTCTGGTAATTATTTAGCGCAGCAGCATTCTGAGATGCCTCCTGCTGGAGCAAACCCTGATTTGCGCTTGAGCTTCTAAACAGATTCTGGTAACTGTTCATTGCCGCGGCATTCTGTGATGCCTCCTGCTGAAGCAAACCCTGATTTGCACTTGAGCTTCTCAGAATGTGTTGGTAATTGCTTTGTGCTGCAGGATTCTGCGGATTATTACTAGTTGCTCCAACACCTGGAACCTCGTTATTAACATGGGGGCTCATTTCTATTTTGACCGCCTTTGAGTCATGCAAATTCTGCACCGTGAGCTTTGGTCCAGCAGTTTGCTTGGGATAGTTCTTCAGTCCCTCTGCAGATGAACAGGCAAAATAATTAAACATTTAAACTATCTCACGGATCAATGGTCACTATCGTTACAAATGTTTCTCTTCAGTTGTTATGATTTGCTGTTATCAGCAGCAAATATGATGAAGCCCTAAAGGTGGCATACAATGTTTAGCTCCGCATTGTTTGCATCACAACCAATTTGTACATGTTCAAGCTCACAGTCCACATCTCCCACTAGTTCAGAAGTTGCATTACGACCAAATTTGCATGATATTAGCTGGGTTTTTGGCTCAGCTGGAGTTTGAACGTAGCTTCTAGCCATGTAGATATTTCTTATGAAGTACTACCTCTGTACCAAAATATAAACTTTTTGTAGGCTAAACTAGCCTAGCCTACAAAAATGTCTTATATTTCAGTACTGAGGTAATACAATACAACATGCATTATGGCTTAACTTTTTGGAAGAAACCAAAATGCTATGCTTAGTTCTACCATATTCATGAGAGTCACTGGTCAAAACTGTTCTATGGAAACTAAATATAGCACTTAGTAGGTACTAAACACGATTGGTATATGTGCATGCTCCTACCTATAGGGCCGAGCTTGTTCTTGTGGCTGAACTCAATTAGATCCTTCATGTGATTCACCACCTCTGATATCTGCCAAGAGGACATAAGCAATTAACGTGCCATAATGCACATATACAGAATAAAACCATATAATGCACACCATGTGGAAAATATCAAGACTACAAAATGTTGAGCAAATAGAAAGGTATATACTACTTAGGGAACTCCAGTTACCTGCAAACAGCGAACATATCTTTTAGAAAGACCATGTTCATTTAGGCTGTGGTGATCTATATTTTTCGCTAGTTGTCGTGAAGCTGACGCAAAACTATAAATTTCATACCAAAAAAAAGAATTTACATTTAGTGATTAGAATATCAGAAATTCAACTCTAGAGAGAATCAACTACATATTTTCGTGACTTTAGTTTTACTAACTCGTTGCAAGCCTTCTGTGCCTCATCGTGCGATAGGCCAGCAGGTCCATTTTTAGTGACAGTAGCTTGATAACTCTGGGTAGCACGCAGCATATGTGTAACCTGAAAAAACAAAAGCATGTGCATAAGAAAAACATAGAAGGGTACCAAAGTTAAAGCGCATCACACAAAGTCACAGATTAAGATTTATAATTATGTGGACTGGTTGAATGCCCGTGCTTAACCACTTCCTACGAAAGTAAAAAAATAAATCCATTTGGAAGAAAAAATTATGAAAAAGACAGGAAGCTTTGAAATTGCAAAACCGTAAAATAATCATAGTGATTTAGAACCACAAAACAAGACGGCACATACGGTCTTGTAGCAAGTGATTTTGAAAGGTGCTATGGCAAACATGAGGATTGCAATGAATTATGGCCTACTCTAAAGGTTGAGTATAATTTAACCGTCTTCGGTGTTTTCCACCTGTAGCTATCTGTAACTTAGTTGAGTAGACAGTTAAGCAAATGGGTGATAAACATAGTAACCGTGGGAGGGATCTGGTCCTTTCACACCCCAATCACCCAGGAGCAGCAATACCCATTAGATTTACGTCATAAACACAAAACTACAAGATGCCAGGCATCAAAACCACACTGTGTATATGTAGGCGACAGCTCAACCATATGCTGCCTTTGAACCAAAGGTTAATCAAATAGGAGATGGAACAGGAATCCCATACTGGTCTAAGAGCTATACCTGCTCTGTTAGAAACTTGCGAGTGACATACTCGTCGTGTTTCCGTGAACAAAACTCCCAAGACATAATCTGCATATGCAATTCAGCACATAAGAATGATTCACATTTCGAGATATCCACAAATGTTCAAGAAAGGACACCCAAAAGGTGCTATGGTATGGGCTAGCTACTACAACTAGGAACATACCTTTAGTTCTGGAGTGAATATTATTCTCAGTTGTCCCTCATGTGTGAGATGTTGGTGGTCGTAGATGCTCTTCTGAACAACTTTAGTATGCTCCAGGAGCAGCAGTCCGTTGGGCAACCGGAACTCGTTCGGCATGTCAAGGAATAGATA